TGAAAGTTACGATTTGTCTCCAAGCAATTCAATTAACAGGCACATGTGGCCAACATAGCCTCCTCTTGTTGTCCATTTTGCAATATGCAGTTCAAGTAGTGCCCTGTAAGTTCACAACTTTAGCAAATGCGCATAGCGGGTTCTTTTATCAGTTTTCTTTCCTGGTATTTTTCTTGGCGAGGTTGGGTTAAACATGTTGGTATTTTTCTTCTGTACTTACCTATGATCTGCCAGGTGGTTCGTTCAAATCACGGCTTTCTATGTAATAGTTAAAGAGACGAGACTTTCGGGTTGCTTTTCCGCTCCCTGACTTCTATCAGCAATTTTCTGGCCTAAATGAAATGTTTCTCAAGAACATGGATTAAGAGTGCAAGCAAACGTTTTCCCATGTTTTTAAAAAAGTTAATTCTATCACTAATCCCTTTTAATCCTTGGATGCTCCTCCTTTGCGTTTCGGTTTATCTACGCGGTAGCCAAACCGCTGTTTCGGATATGACCACTTAGATTTGTATTCCATTAAAACGTGACATTTAATTATCTTTGTAGAGCTTCCAATACGATCACTATTAGAGTGAAAGTCGTGGCTTGAAATGATAATCAAAGGCTTTATTTCATTTCCTTTCAGAACACTTGCGTAAACATATTTTACCTTTCCTGTATTTGCCTTGGATCTGGTAGCTAGGGTCACGTGTTTAAATTCCAATGCCAATATGGGCCGGCTACGAGTGCAGCGGGTTGAAAAAAACTTCTGGAATTGCACAGACCTGAACAAAAAGTTTCTTCAAACAGATCATCAAAGTGACAGTTTTAACATCGCAGTTGAAAATGAACTTTAAACATGCAGCTTTTCTCAGACACTCTGGCGTTTGAATCTCATTAACATTTCATTCCGATTTGCTTGCTGATGAAGCAATGTACATGGGTTGGAATCTCAGTGGAAAATAGTATTTACCTATAACGTTGCGAGTTTTGATGTAGTAGGAGCACAGTTGACTTCAAAACTCTTTTCTTAAACGACCCTGTTTTGGTAAGCTTGCTTATCCTCTTGAAGACGATCGGTTTTCCTATATTCCGGTACTTACGGGTTGCACATCGCTGCTGATGGACCTTATCACGGCTGGACGTCCTCTACATGAATAATATATTTCTTAAAAACAGAATCAATAACATCAAAACAGAGTAGTAGATAAGGCACCGGTTACTCCTTTTCTTTGCGGGGGAATACATTAACGCAGATGACGTCATGCATCTCATTAAGATAGGATGATGTCATAGTTTAAATTAATGCCGATGACGTCACGCATGCCGTTAAGATAGAATGATGTCATAGTTTATTTTTAGCTGGCTGACGTCATGCATGTCATATAGATAGGATGATGTCATAGTTTATTTGTAACTTGCAAGGAGTAAGTGAGGTCAGAATTTCCTAGAGTTGACGTCATCAAAAAATGTCGAGATCATAATCTATAAACAGAAAAGTGATTTTTATATAATTAGCTATTTGCTACAGTCTTCTGATTAGATAATGATTGCTATAGTCTTCTGATTGGATATTGTAGAAACTGTCATGTGTTCAAAATAAAAGCGGGCAAATTTTGAATGTGTTATCTTTGCAGATTATACTAAATGAAAAGTCTTTAATCATTAAATTATTTTCACTAAAAATCGGTTATAAACAAAACCAAGACACGGAGGTAAACTGAAAAATCTTTACTTCAAAAGAAGGGAAAAGAAGGTTAAGCGAATGCGAAATCGTACAAATTTTTCAGGCAAAACATGAAAACGAGGTCGAAGCTCAGCGAAGCGAAAAACTGCCTATCAAGCAAAAATGTCAATCTTTGTTTACTTGACTCTGTAGAAAGTATTACACAGGGTATGAAAATTCTATAGAAAACAACAGGTGGTTCTAAAGTAAACCCTAACTGTTTTGGTTCTTAAATCAACTCCATTCTTGTTCCTAATGAGTGGAAAGTCAATTTATAAAAATAGGAATAAGAGGTTCGAGTAGTAAATAGGGCTACTTCAGGCCACAGCCAATCAGAGCGCTGCAAAATTTTTGGGAACCAATCAGAATCAAGCATATAGGTCATGTGACCAAATTGACGTCACGATGCCCATATATGGTCATAGAAATTCACGTGACCCATGGGGTGAAGAACAGACGCATTCATAGGAAGGCCCATACGTGCATGAAGTTAGTTTGTGCGTGCGTGAACCTCAAACTGCGCCCCAGTCCCCTCGCATGGGTGGCCATAGATTCGAAAAAACAGGGTGTTGAATAACACCTCGAACGGAGGCAGCTCCCCCAAAGTGTTCCCAGATCCCTCGCATGGGAAGGGAGGATGGATGACGTCACCGGAAGTGACATGACGGTGAAACCAGAAGTCAATAAAAACACACTGTATGGAGGTCAAAATCATCCATCAACATCATTTAATACAAAACAAGTCTCGACAGTGACCTAGGTTACATCCGGGATGTGTGTGACGTTCGAGTGACGTCACGCCCATTTTTACATTAATACACATAATGAAGATAGGGTGTTTGCTTCCTGGCGGCAGACGTCATGAGCAATGGATGAGGCCATCGAATGTAGTGATTAAATGGAATTTAAACGTGGAAAAGATGTCTGAAACGAATCGGAAGGAGGGTGATTAGAGCCAAGAAGCAAACTGAATGAGAAAAAGTCGACCATTGCCACGCACGAGGCGGTGGTTTATTGTCCAATGATTGACTAGAAGACAAAAAAATGACTTAATTACAAATGGGACGTGTGTGACGCCCTCGTGGTGTCACGCCCTTGAAGGATTGTATACAAAACAATTCTATTAAAATCCAATCTTGAGTAAAGTCGAAATGGTCTAGGATCCAATGCGTTTCTGGGAAAAAGGTTTGAAAAGATGGAGTAAGCTGGACCATCCTTGATGATTGACGATACAAAATTTGTGAGGGATGGGCCAGCTTTGGAAAATCATCACCCGTTGGAGGATCCCATGGGAATCTAATTGAATTAAAAACATAATCATGAACATCCAGCAGGGGTGGCGCCACCATGCAGACCTCCCCCTGCCGGGTGTTCAGAATTCCCAATCCATGCTGTCCATCATAGCACAGCTCCGACAGGGTTCATGGAGGGTGGACACGTGACGTAAATAAATCCAACAACGTTTACAGACAAAATATAATTGTCCAGTCAAATTTTGGAGGGACCTCGTGTGTTGGTCCATCACCTGGGTAATGGCTGAAAAAGGAAAGGGAGATAAATGGCTCGTATGACAAAACGAGAATCTGAAAAAAAAGGAAAAAAAATAGGTTTTTTAAGGACGGGGTGGATAACCCATTCCTTGCAACATCTCGCACCAATAACATGGCACGTGTAAGTCGCTGACACGACGAAAGTTCAAATAACAACGACAACAAAGTAATTTAACGGGACTCGGAAACGGAAGAGAGACCCCTGATCCAGTGTACCACTGCACGATACTGCCGAGGAAACACCATGCAGCGGGGGTACCGTGAACCCTGTGGGTGCTGAGAATGGTATGCGAATCTACGAAAAAATTAATAATGATAATTTTGTAAGCCCATGAGTAAGTAAGCAATGCGGTCTCGGATCCAGCGGTTGTGCCCATACTGTTCAATCATGGCATTTACATCTGAAACGTTTCATGAAGACTGATTACACATTTGACAGTACTATAATAACATCGCAATTGCACAGGTCTAAGCCATCCTCCGTATTGTTTTAAAGTGTAATGAAAGCCTACAAAGAGGTGGAAAGTCGAATCAGGGTGGGAATACTGGTACGAAAGAAACCGGATTGCAAAGGGCGGATCCATTGCGTATGATGACGTAACAGGCAATGCGTGCCTGTAAAAAAATGAACTAAAATGAATCATCTAAAAAGCCCAGGGCAGCCAAATCCGGTTCACCTACGGGACCCTGGGCCCGGAGAAAAGAATTGATCCTAAACGTCATGCGCAGCGGCCAATCGTCCCAGTCCCGATGGTTGGGGTCCCCATTCTGTACAAACTCGACTACATCGTCTTCCGTCAACGATCCCTCACTGTTATTTGAAATGATGTCTTCCAACCGCAAACCGTCCATCATTCGTTCGCAATGGTTACACACCCCGCCATGAGTGGGATGGGCGACCCACTGATAAATGTGACAGACGGGTTGGTTTTCCACAAAATCCAAGGAATCTATCAAAAAAATCAACACGAACAGGTTGGAACCCAGAAACGAGCCGCCCAATTGAGTCTGGCTTGACGAGGGCAAAGACACAGGTGGACAGGCCACAACACTGTTCGTAGAAAATCAATCCCCGGGAAAACGTCTGTGATTTGAAGGGAAAAAAAATGGTATAAGAAAAAAGGGGCCCACACCCGAAAAAAATCAAAGCCATAAAACTCACCCGCCATTCTGCGGCGATGGACCTCATGATCTAGTTTCCGGGCGACAGGGTGGTCCCAGGGCAGCGTTTTAGCCAAATCCCTCAGTTCCTCATGGGTACAGCGTCTGAACAGGGCGCGCAGACAATCCTGTCTCATCGGCAGGTGCCACAGGGTCTTCAACAAATCAAACAGGATCGCGATCGGCACAGAGTACAACACAATGGACTGCAAAGAGCTCACCATCTTGACCAGTACAACTGAACAAAGTGGAATGAGCCCAATTCTAGTGCGCGTGGGATTTTACCGACCCGTTGAGAGAACGTGATTGGTGGAGAGCCATCACGTGGGGATGCTATGAACGAGAGGAGACTCTAGGGGGTGCCCCCCATGGGTACACTTTTTTCATCCCTGGACCAGGGGGTCTAGCGCGAGTGAGTGATTGGTGGAAACGAGAAGATTAATAAGGTGACACAACGTAGAGAGGTCAGTCGCCTAGTTTTGCTCTGTCAGGATGGACTGCCGAGGGTTGGTCGATCCCCAGAACAAACCGTTTGGCCGTTAGCTCCCCTTGGAGGTGCAGATTAAGATCATGTTTTGGGTGCACTGTTTCTACACCATGGACAGGCGAAAGAAGGTGGTGCGCGAGTTGAAGGGGTTACCCAAATGCGACCTGACAGGTTTCCCTCAACATCTGGGCGAGGACCGTTGGTGGAACCAAGTGGTGGTGCGGTTGCATGCGCCCCGGAAAAATGGCTGTCACCACTGCCACCGCCTCATGGATCACCGGTTATCGGTAAGGGGAAAAGTGTTTTGTTGTGGTGATGGGTTTAAAAAATGACTGAGAGACTTTGTTTATGGGTTTCAGATTGGCATGATGGTGGAAATGGCGCGTCAACCCCCCAATCTCGACCACCTGATGAACGAGGGCATTGCGTTTGTCATTGACACGTTCAAGTATCGGATCCCTCAGTGTCCCCTTGGAAAACGCCCCGTCATGATTGGCAGGAGGAAGGCCTCGTACGATACTGTGGACAAAGTCATGAAACGCTTGGACTTGATCATGAATGTCATGTCAGCCATGAATTTTATTGTGATCGATATACATTAAAACAAGTGATGTGTTCTATAGCAGTGTTTCTTATTTGTTTTTAAATAAAGCTTCCAGGGTGGGATAGACCGCTTTGTCTTCTTCACGCGTGCCTACAATGGCGGTTTTGTCTTGGAGGGTGGGTAGAGCGATTTGGTCCTCGGTCATACCTTCACAGGGTTGATAGTCTTGGGAGGTGGGATTCCACCAAGACCATTGTTCCGTATCCAAATCAAAGACATAGAGGGTTTTGCCTAAGAGCTGGGCCATGACCACACTCCATCCTGTCCCACCCAATAGATGCTTGCGTAACTCGTCAAAATAGCCCACCGCCAAGACTAAGGACGCAGGCTGGATCACGTGATAATTGCGTTGTATATACTGGAGGCTGATGGGATGATGGATTTGTCGACCCAATCGAAACGCCGCCTGGGTGACGGTGGGGGTGGCTGCGTCCAACTCGGGCTGCGTCAAGGGCGCGAGGGACTTGGCTCGAGGGTGACAGGGTGGGATGAGGACCACACACGAATGACCATACAAGTGACATAATCGTTCCACATGCGTGTCCACGCCTTTGGCACCCCCCGTGTAAATGGTCAGAGGCATACTCTGTGAAAAAAAAATTAAAAACAGTGTTTATGATGAGACAAAGGAGTCCAAGCCCACATGGTATGCGGTTCAACATCAGCGTACAGCAAGGGGGTTTGCCATTCCCGACAGGTGACGGTTTGTTCGAAAATGCGTCGGACCGTGCTGCATTCATTGCAATTGTCAGGGATCCAATCCAGTCCTTGCCCTCGAGCGAAGGCCTCGTCTTTGTCTTCCTTACAATAGTTGCATAACAAATAATCCATCAATCGATCACACCGTCGTTGCCACAGCACGCGTTGGGCATTGACTTGGACGAGGGTGGGCAGGACATGGGATTGGCGACGTAACCATCCACTCATTTGACAGGCCCGTACGTGCGCGCAATGATCGTGCCAGACCCCACTCCCACGTTCCCCGTCGGTATGATCCATACAGACCATTCAGCGTGAACACCCCGAGCCGACCCCGTTGGGGGGTGAGATACTGTTGACACCAACGGGTGATATCGTCCTGGATCTGATGGTAGGGATGAAAGTCGTGGCGGTTGTAAGCCGTGTACGGTTCAAAGGGCAACCCATGCACCGTCTTGGTCTGACGATCCACGCGAGTCTTGGCCTCCTCGGATAATTGATGGTACGACACGCCCTTCGGTAACAGGTATTTGAAGAGGGCATGATGATGCCCCGTCCAATCACAAAAAGCCAGTTCTCGAATAATATACTCGTCTCGGGACATGGCAAACCCCTGACTGTACACCAAGAGACCCACTTCGTTGAGCGCCATGATCACTTACCGTGGATGGGAGAGGACTGTGATGAATGAGATGGCCGTCGTGCCACCTCTGGTTTTATAGCGGAAGGCGTATGCTCTGATTGGCGGACCGTCGGATCACACCACCCTCACGAGAGGACGGGCTGAGCCAGGATTGGTGGAAAAAAAGATCCTATGAGGATCACGAGACGCAGGGGGATGGGCTATAAAAGGCAGGCAAGACGTTCACCCAGAGTCATTCCGCCAAGGCATGGAGCGTCAAGCCACTCAACCTGCCGCTGTGCCCTCAGGACGCAAACGACGCCGAGTGAGTAGTAAGAAACCCAAGGGGGAAGAGGAAGCCCCAGCGCCAGCCCCAGACATGAAAGCCACTCGTGAACTCGAGATGGCCCTGATCGGTCTGCCCCGAGCTGAAGCAACAGCCCTAGACATGAAAGCTACCCAAACCCCCACCAGTGGAATCGTATTGGCCCTGAACGCCCTGCCCCGAGCAGACCCACTGACACCACCCACACCCTCCCTCGTCTGTTCCGTCTACGAGTTGATGGAGGGAACCCTGAAAGACTATGAGGAAGAATACGTCGAGGAAGGGACGTTTCATGCCGATCCTGCCAACGAAGTAGGGGAATGGGAAGAACACGACCTCGACCAGATGGAGACCCAGTTGAACGATCTCTTGTATGAAACGTGCCCATTTCACCCTCGTCAATACATCCATTGTGTCAACCCCCAGACACAATTTGGCCAGTTGAGGTTCAAGTGCCCCCAAGAAGGGTGTCCCGTGTATTTGTTTGAAGATTCTCGGGAAGTGATGATGGAGAAATTGAAAGAAGACACGCACCCTCAAGTACGTGCCCGATTGCAACGAGGGGAGCTCAAGTGCAAATGTGGATTCGTCCCCAGGATGAAATTGAGTCGTACCAGCAAGAATTAGAAGAAAGTGTTTTTCAGTTGTGGGAGCTTTCTCCCAGGACAAGACCCCTGTGGCTACTTTCAATGGCTCCATGGCCCGCTATGGTGCCCCCGAGAGCAAGCGCAACCCACACTGAGACGATGGGTGAGAGACACACCCCCTGAGATCCAATACAGGGAGTATCAACCTATCCCCCTTTTGAAAGGAAAAAGCCCAGAGATGGACTTTGTGGAGAGGAATAGGCCGTGGTTCAATCAGTTTGGGGAAGCCGCCAAAGCCAAGGAGAGGGAGCGGGAGAGGACGCGCCATTTGCATAAGAACTTTGGTAGCACGGGTTTGTTTTGAATAAAATCATGTCGGTGTGTGAAAAAAACTATTAAAGACAGAGATTGGATACGATCGTGTGTCAGTGTCTTGATGTCGTTGCCACGCGCTTACGAAGATCCCCAGGAACCCGGGGCCTTGGGCGGGGTCCAACCCTTTGCCCAAGCCCATAAATTGAAAACCCCGCAAGCGCAACGGATTCTCCAATCGATGTTGAGTTATACCCTCCACAAACCCCGATGGACGCGGTTTCCCTCCGCTCCCACGTTGGTCTTTGACCGAGACGAACAATGGCAGATGGATTTGGTAGACATGCAAAAACTCAGTCGATGGAACCAAGGCCACAAATATTTGTTGACCGTGATCGACGTCCTGTTCAAGTATGCCTGGGCCGTCCCCATCAAATCCAAAAGCACGCAAGAGGTGATCCGAGGGTTGACACGCATTTACCAGCAAGCCTCGCCGCGGCGAGCGCTCCGCGTGCAGACGGATCAAGGCAAAGAATTCTACAATCGAGGGGTCCAAGCCTGGTTCAAGAAACAGGGGACGTATCATTTTTCCACGTATGGGGATAGCAAGGCCTCCGTGGTGGAACGATGGCATCGCACGTTGAAACAACGGATGTACCGTTATTTCACCGCCCACAATACGTTACGGTACGTGGACGTGTTACAACCCTTGATCCATACATACAATCACACCCATCATCGCAGCATTGGGATGGCCCCGCATCAAGTCACCCCCAAAACGGTGCCCGACGTGTGAGACAGACTCTACGGATCGCGTTTGGAACAAACGACCCCACCTCCTAAATGTCGAGTGGGTGATCGTGTGCGTCTCAACCAGAAACATCGTCCCTTCAAAAAAGGGTATTTGCCCGGTTGGACGGAAGAAGTGTTTGTGGTCACGCACGTCCGTCGTCATCCTGTCGTCACCTATCGACTCAGTGAATGGGACGGCACGCCTATAAAAGGCACGTTTTACGAACCCGATGTTCAAAAAGTGCAAGTGTCGGACGACTCGTTATTTCGGGTCGAAAAAGTGTTGAAACGCAAAGGACGCCAGGTGTTGGTCCGGTGGAAAGGGTGGCCTGCCAAGTACGATAGTTGGATTCCCGCGCAACCCAGACATGGTACGCGTCAAAATAACGCCTCGAAAAAGAAAAAAGCGGGTGCGGTTTTTGGATGAGGTGCAGGCGGATTCCAGCCGACCGCGGGCCAGTTACACACCCCCTCCCACCAGCGACGCAGACATTCTGAAATTCATCCACAAGAAAGCCGCCGGCCAACGACGAGCCAAAGTCAACAGGATGGCGGGGGTCGCTTTTGGTCAACAAGCCCTCCGTGCTTACACGGCGGCCCAAAAGAAACAACGCCGACGCGCTGGTCGCCATCCCCCCATGCGCCAAAAGAAACCCCCCAAACCAAAGACCTGCATGACCCTGATGGAATTGGCACGGGCCTTTCCTAACATTGCCCAGCAAGTGTGTTTTCATCCCAAACAATCGACCTTCAATTCGTTGGTGGGACGCGTCCCTCGCAGCAAACAGAAAGTGGACCAGTGGCTTTAAAAGGACCCTGCCCCCGCTTGGACGAGCATCTGGTGCATCATGAGCGAGATTAAACGCCTGACGCTCGTCAGCGATCCGACCAACGAGTTTCCGAACAATGCCAACAACAGTTTCAAGGTCCGTCTGCCCGAACGGCTCACTTTACCGGGCGAGGGGTGGCATGCCTCATTGATGTCCCTGACCGTGCCGGATCAAGGACAGAGCAATGCCGTCATCGCCACGGATCCTCATACCAAAGTCATCCAATTCAGTGTGACGTACTTTAATATGTGCTAGGGGAGTATCGACGGGTCAGTTTCAAGACCAAGGAGTACTATGTGGAATTGGAAGAAATCATGAGTATCAAACATCCTGTGACCTCAGGGAGCCTGTTTTGGCAACGAGCGATGCAAGAAGTGCACAACACGACCATGGAGCAACTGATGTACGAACAAGATTATGCCAAGACCTTTGATGCGGATGAACGACCCCTGGTCAGTGTGAAAAAGAACTGGATGCCCATGATGACCTGGAAAGACGATGCCCTGATTTTGCATGCAGTACCTAAAGGAGAGTTGCTAAACGGCAACAAGACCAAAGCCACGAGCGCCTTTTCCCTGGATCTAGGGGTAGCGGAAAAGTTTGGCTTCATCGAACAACTCCAAGGCGTGGTAGGGTATGTGCTGAGCCCCAATCTCCAATTCACTTGCCCCACCGTGACCTATGATGGCCAAACACCCCCCAAGGATCCCTCGAATCGAACGGACTATTATTGGGAAGGAGCGCATTATGCCGGGTCGCAACCCTCGGATTTGACCAGGGATATGATGGATCAAATGTTTGTGGTGAAAAATAAGAGGCTTCATCTGTCCAGGATGGTGGAATGGCAGTTTAACAATCTCAACGCCTCGTTTGAAAAATTGGTGGGGACCAGCAAACGCACCGTCATGGTCTATACCGATCTGGTGAAATCCACCGTGGTGGGGAGTGGCAAGTTTCCCCTGTTGCGGGAAATGCAACTGTTGAGAACCGGCGAGGGTGAAAGTACGGTGGAACCCCTACACCATCAATGGATCAAAGTGCGAGGACAACAGATGGATATCTTGGAAGTGGACATTGCCAGTACCAGTGGACCCCTGGCCGTCCTACCCCCTGGCAAAACCCTAGTGACCATCGGTCTCAAACAGCTATAAAAAGCCACCCACGCCACGCGAGGGTCCAAAAGCACCTCGACGTGAACCGACATGCGCGGAGGCAGTTTAACGCGATACCACACGCCCGTGGTCACCCAACAAGAAGGAAAAAGCTTGGCCGAAGACTTGATCAAACTGGCGGGACCCCTCCTCGTGCAGCAAGCCCAAGCGGGACTGCAAGATATCCAACGAGGCAAGAGTGCAGCGGACACGTGGGCTGATCGAAGTGCGCAACTCACCCGCGGGTTGAAACGCAAAGCCCCCGCGATGGCCTGGACGATGGGCAAACACAAAGCCAAACGCACCGCCCAAAATACCTATAAAAGAGCCACGCAACGTGTACGGGACATCTTTGGACTAAGAAAACAATATGGTACGCGTGGGTGGCTTTCTCAAAACGCAAAATCGCATTCGACGGCAACGCGCCCCTGGACGGTTCATCTCGCCGTACCAAATAGGAGGGACGATCTTTGGCAAGTCCACCATGGCACGCTATCCCTTGATGCACACCTCCTCTCGCCTATTGGAACCGTGGAGGATGACGCAACGCCAACGCCGCCAGATGAAAGGGGGCACGATTTTTGGCCTGTCCACTCGCATGCGCATAGGGGATCCCAGGCAGGTTTTGTGGGCCAACCAAGAAAAAGCCAGGAGGCAACGCTGGCTCCAGCAACATATGCGAAAGGGTATAAAAAGGGGACGACGTTAAACCACATGGACAGTCCGCACCATGTCGCTCCAACTGTTTGACGTGCCCGATGTGGATTATCGGTACGAAGCCTCTCGGGAGGTGGAGTTTCAACCCGCCTTGACGGGCATCCAGCCCATCACGTTCTCCATTCCGGGCTCCGACGATTATTACGATCCCAATTCCCTCCGATTCAAAGTCAAAGTACGCCTGACCGATCCAGCGGCTGGGTATGAAGGATTGCAAGCCAATCTGGCCAACTCCGATGCCAACAATACCAGGAACACCTACTGCGTCAACAATTTCGGTCACTCCATCTTTCGAGATATCACCCTGAGCATGAATGGAGTCCTCATGACCGAACAGAGCAACACCTACCATTACAGAGCCTACCTAGAAACCCTCCTGAATTACAGCCGAGACGAAGGAGCCACCAAGTTAGCCCCTCAAGGATGGGTCAATCAGCTCAATGTGATTGCAGAAATGGGAGCCACAGGAGCCAATTCCGATACCCCCACGGGCGCTGATTGGAGTGGGAATACAGAATTGCGAGCCTTGACCAGCCGGTTGCTAGAGAAGCATTGGCACACCTTCATCATCCGCCCCCATTTGCCACCCCTCAGAACAGGCAAATTGTTGGTCCCCAATGTCCAGATGGACTTTGAACTATTCCTCAACCCCAACTCAGTCTACTTGATGGGCACCCCTAACAAAGGAACCTTGAACGCCAAAAAATTTCCAGCCATTCACCAGGAAGACATCAAAGTCACGTTGCTGATGAGAAAAGTGACCTTGAATGCCAGCGTCTATGTCAGACTGCAGAAAGAAAGACAACTGGGCAAACAGATTGCCCGCTACCCAGTGGTGCGGAGCGAAATCCGCACTTTTTCCCTCGATGGAAGAAACCACCCAGTGGGAACAAGACAATGTGTTTGTGGGTCGATTTCCTGACAGAGTGATGGTCGGGTTACTGCATTCCAATACCTTCAATGGAGACCTACAAAGACACCCTTATGCCTTTGAAAAGTTTGGAGTCACTCAAATACGTCAGACCTTGAATGGAGAAGAATACCCTTACAGAACCCTGCAACTAACTGGAGCAGAAGCCTATGAAGATCTACTGGGGTACGATCGATTTCTACAAGCCATGGGTGCCTACAATGAAGACAAGATTCCCATGCTGCTGCCAGGTGATTGGGGACAAGGCAACAACTGCACGTTGTTCATGCTCAACAATGTACCCAGTGGAAAAGCAGATGACTCCCAGTATCGCAACCCCCGTCAATCGGGCAATGTGCGACTGATCATTGATTTTGCTGCCGCTGTCAATCACAACATCACCGTGTTGGTATGGAGCGAGTATGAAAACATGTATGAGATCAATCATCTGGGAGGTATAAAGTACAACATCAACGGCTGATGTAGCCTCAGATGTCAGAAGACGCCGGTCATGGAGTTTGTGGCGCTCAGTGATGCTGTGTTGCGGACCTTGGCCCTGGAGGATCCCGCCTTGCGAGGCGTGTTTCACGGCGTGTTCCCTGCCGACCAGTTACCCCGTTCACCCCCCACGCCCGTCCGTGCAGCCTACATTGTCAACACCGATCCTGCGGGAGAACCGGGACAACATTGGTTGGGACTGTGGACGGAACAGAACAAGTGCGAGGTCTTTGACAGTTATGGTCTACCCCTGCATGTGTAAACCAACCCTGACCTGCACCAATGGTAGGGTCAATGGAAGCACCTGATCCGCAGTGACATGACCCTGCAAGCCATGGATAGTCAGACCTGTGGCCATTATGCTTTATTTTTCCTGAAAGCCCGAGCCCAAGGACAATCGTATCAAGAATTTTTGGGTCAATGGAGTTGCGACAACTTAGTGTTGAATGATCATAAAGTGGCCGAACAGTTGAAACGCGTGATTAAACAAGAATTACAAGATGAAGTCGATGCCCGACCGGACGGGCAAAAGAATGTGAGCCGCCAGGCCTTTATGCTTTGTAATCACTGTGACCATTATGTCAAATAAAAAACCCATAAAAACGAGGCGTGCTGTGATAGAGAAGTCATTTGTATCATCATGATTACTCGAGGCGATGTACAGCGCGTGGTGGATGCGTTCATTTTAGAAGAAACCTTGTATTGGTGGTTACACCCCATCGAACGGGTGAACACGGTCGAAGGCGTCGATGCATGGGATGGGTATCATTGGTTGTTGGCCCGACAACTGGCCCAAGACCAGGACTGGGTCTCTCTCAAACACTACATGGACACCATGAGGGAAACGCATTTAAGAGAGACCATGGAACATCTCATTCAGTTCGAGTCGCCACGATTATACCGCGAGTATTGGACGGCATGCCCAGTCGCAGAAAAAGACGACGACGACGCGCCTCCTCCCGACGACCCCGCTTTCGTCAAAACGGGCGGGGGATCATGAGCGTGTTGGCCAAAGCGGCCAAAATCGGTTATAAATTGGGACGTAGCAAACGGTATAAACGAATGGGAGCCAAAGGGGCCACGGGTCATTACCGTCGTCTGCCTTGACCGTGGGAAGGATGATCCGACACCCCAGTAGTGTGATTGTGGCTGGCCCGTCGGGCACCGGCAACAGCGAGTTAGTGGAACAATGGCTACGGTACCTCAACGTGTTTCAAGTCAAACCCAAAAAAATCGTCTATGCGTACGACCGAAGGCAACCCCGGTTCGACCGTATGTAAAAGAAGGATGGGATTCGGTTTCATCGCGGGTTACCAGACCCCCGTCATTTGACCCAATGGTTTGGTCGGACGCGCGGAGGGGTGTTGGTGTTGGATGATCTGATGGAAGAAGGGGGACAGGACAAACGCGTGTTGGATTTGTTCACCAAAGATTCCCATCATCGCAACATCACCGTCTTGTATTTGACGCAAGATCTATTCCCGCCTGGCAAATTCTCCAAGACCATCAATCGCAACGCGCATTACATTGTGGCCTTCAAAAACCCCCGAGATCAAACGGGCATACGGACCATTTTACTGCAAGCCTTTCCCGACCGATGGCGTCAAGTCTTGCGCCTATTTAAACGCAGCACGTCCCGTCCCTTTGGCTATTTGATGTTGGATGTGCATCCGGCTTCGGATGATCGTTACCGATTGTGGAGTCATTTAACGCCCCGCGAAGGCAAGGCGCAAGTCCATACCCTCCCCGTGGATGTCCCTGCCGTTCGAAAACGCGCTGCAACGAGAACGCGAACGTCAACGGCGGCAAAGAGAAGGCGGACAACAACTTGGCTTATCGGTCCGCATGGAGACCCCGACCATCTCGCCCGCCGGTGTGGGCTCCCCCACAGCACCTCCTCCCCTCCAGGACCTTAGCAGCATGACGGACATGGTGACCAAATTGACCCGACCGGTCGATCGAGCCCAATTGGATCAAGAGATGGAGGATTTTAACCTGACCTACCCGGTCAATGTGGACGATGCCTTGAATGCGTTTACTCTACCGCCCGTGGCAGGCACAGGCACCGCCCCGGTCACCACCACCACCACCACGGCGCCGCCCCCACCCTCCATCACCACCACCCCCACCACCACGGCGACCCAAACCCGTCCCACCACGTCCACCCGAACACGCCCCACCACCACCACGACCACCAGCTCCAGACGACCCAGACCACGCCCTGTCACCACGGCCACGACCACCACCGCTCCCTCACGCCCCTCCACCGCCCGCCGCAGCGCCGGGGCAGGGACCAGGACCACCACCTCCACGGTGACGACCCCTACAGGACGTCCCACCATCGCGGCCAAACAACCGCGACGACGTCCCCGAGTGCCCTCTCCTCCGTCCCCGGATTCTTCCCCTCCTCCGTCGGATGACGACGATGGCGATGATGACGAGGACGATCGACGGCGGGGATTAAGGCGACGGTTGGATTTGCTCAATGAAGATGCTCAACAACGTGCTCGAGGGAGGCGCATTCGCAATATCACGCATACCAATACCGTCACCACGGTGTATGAAGATGGGGGAGGCCGTCCTTCCGTGCGCCGCACCTCCACGCGAACCTCCAGCCCAAGTCCACCACCACCGCCACCACGCCGAGGACGTGGCCGTGGCCGTGGCCGAGCCCGTGGACGGGGTCGACGACCGTGAATGTGAAAAAAGATATAAAAACAGGGTCCTTCTTTCTACCGTCCCAAAACCATGTGTGGCCGATGTCGAAGCGGTATGGCCCCTGGGCGCAAACGCAAACGCACCACGACCCGGCGACAACCACCCGCCAAACGACCACGGCGTGTGACCTACAGTCAAGTGGGGGGTGTCGGGGTCGGCCTGCCTGTAGGGATTCTCAAAGCCGGCTATGGGATCACCAAAGCCATAGGGGATCATCAAACCAAACGTGCCATCAAAATTGGCGAAAAACGCCGACGGGAAGTGGCATCAGACAAACGGAAACGCTATGCGGGGGAATCGTTTAATTGTTCGATCATGTGAAAACGTATAAAAAGACCTTCGTGGGCCTGAACAGGGGTTAGTTGAAAGATGGTCCGTGGACCCAATGGACGCCGACATCGTTATGTCCCCCGAATACGACGCCGTCTACGTGGATTGCAACGTGGAGGCGTGCTCCCCATGCTGGTAGTGGCTCTCTCGCCTTGGGCGTTCAAGAAGAAGAAGCGCCCACAGCGGGCGCGCCGACGTTGAGGTGACCAAGAAAAGAAAAGCCGTCACGTTTGCTTTGGACTGGGACGACCAGTATGAAGCGGCCCTGTGTTCACGGTGTCGAGATCACATGCAAACGCATTATCATGGCGAATTGTGTGGCAGGTGTGGGGCCATTTTTACCATAAATAGACCTTGGTCCTTGCCTGAACTCAAGATTCATCATGGAATGGCGCATGGAACGTCAAGCCCCGTTCTTGAAAAGCGTCTTACAAGAAGCCAATCAACACAAACGACAAGAATTGTTGCGGATGGCGAATGCGGATCAGATCAATGCTATAAGTGAATTGGTGATGAACACCCTCCGTGGCACCGTCCCCCGCTCCCGACACACCATCACGTTGCTCAAACCCCACGCCCAGAGTTTACGCGCCATGGCCAAACCCGCGCATTCCGTGAAACGACGACGCGCCATCATGATGGCTCAAAAAGGGGGCGCCCTCTGGCGTGAACTCGATGTTATAAACGTTGCATGCGGTAGACAAGACACCTCAGTTGCACCATGGAACCCGAGATGGTGAGCACCACGATAGACAACGCCCCTGCTTTTTTACAATTAAGAGACGAGTACAAACAAGAATTGGTGGAAGATACCCGCTTGACCAAAGCCGCCGATTTGGCCGCCAAACAACATGTGCTCCTGACCAGTGATGCCCCCGATGCCTGGAAACGGCCTCAACTCAAAGCCGTGAGCCGTCAATTACGCCATTGGACCAAAAAAGTTCGCCAACCGTTTGGGGCCCCGACCGGTGGTGTGAGCGCGACAGGGGCCACGACCCCTGGCGACGATGATTTTGAGGCGGGCCCTATGCAAGCGTGGTTTAGGCAATTGGTCAAGGCGACCCAGGGTATAAAACAAGGGTCCACGCCTGGTGGGCCCAGAAAACCACCTGTCCCGCCCAAACCGAACATCACCCCCAGTGCCAAAAAGAAACTCAAGTTTACGCCCAAACCGAGCAGCGCGGACTTGGCGCAAGAGTTGCCTTTTTCAGAGGATATTGCACCGAAACCTTGGGATACCCCAACTTTAGCTGTCAAGCATAAAATCAGAAAGAAAGCCGCTGCTGTAGCCAAAAAGAAAGCCGCAGGTCTGGCCAAGAAAGCGTTGGATTGGAAAACGTGGAAAACCCGTGATGGGACGGACCCGGATACGCCGTGCTGCTGCGCCCCGTGCCCGACCGAGGCGACGACGATCGCAACGCGGGGGCAAGTTATTTGATGTGCGAAACCTCCTCAACAAGACGGGCATTGAATTTCATTGGCCCGGCTATCAGTACATGGGACCTGGGACCCATTTGAAAAAAAGATTGGCCCGTGGGGATCCCGGCATCAACCGGTTAGACAGGATTGCTAAAGTGCATGACATGGACTATGATAAAGCCAAGACGTTGAAAGATAAATGGGTGGCGGATCGCAAGATGATTGCCAAGATTGATCAACTCCCTGGCCGCAAAACCCTGACGGAGCGCATTGTCAGACGCATCATGAAAACCAAACTTCGATTGGGCATGTGAACACTTACATTGAACACAGTCATAAAAAAGACAATATTGTTGAATTGCAACGACACATGTTTTAATAAACTCATTTTTGTTCTTACAAGTAGTGGTCCATTTGCTGTGACGCGTTCGCACGAATCGTTTGTATTGTATCCTCCTCAGGCTCGGGCTCGGCCCAGTCCAATGGCAACCACGGGAGGGGAAAGGGACGGTCCAATTGCTCGTCCAACCATTGCCATCGTTGACGTCGAATCGATTCCACCCGCTTCTCGTACTTTTGTTTCTGCAAGGCTTTCCACCCCTCCTCGCCCAAGGCTCGCTTTTTCTCCACCTGCAACGCCCGCCGCCGCACATTCAACCGGTGTTTGTAGGCCTCGTAGGTGCCCTCCTCCTTCATTTTCTGCATCCAGTTCTTTTGACATTGCGCGTTCTTGCGTTTCACCTCATTGCGGTTTTCCTCTGACATAGCATGGTAGCGTCGCATGCCCTCCTGGACCTTTTTTGGCCTTGAAGGCCTCGTACTCCCCGTTCACTTTCATACGCGCCATGCGTTCGTAGTAACGCCGACGGTGAAGGGCTTTCACCTCCTCGATTCCGTTCACGGCCGCATATTGTCCTGCCGATACAGTTTTTGGTTGATCTTATTTTTCTCGGGGTCCCGCTTTTTCTTGGACTGGTTCAATCCTGGCGTATCCATGCTCCACTTCCAGCAATCGGGCGGCACACACGTCCGCTAACGCCCGTAACTTTCGGAAAGGGTTGTTCTGATGCACCCTGGCACGACGGTCCCGCTGCTGCTGCACAATGCGCTCTCGGTTCCTGTGGTAATACTCCCGATTCAGGTGGCGTACTTGGTCCGAATGGGTCGCTCGGTATCGGTGACAGGCCAGTCGGTTTGCTCCTCGGGCTTTGGCTTTCTGTTCTGGTGTGGGGGCTGGTTTGGGTGGACGTGGTGGTTTGAGCTTCTTTTTGGCCACCCGCCGTTCACGTTTCTGTTGCAATAGTCTCTCTCTGTTTTTCATATACCACTCGTGCTTTAGCTGTTTCGCCTTCTCGGGATTTTTGTTGGGCATCTCGAACACAACTGACGTCTGTCCTGGACGATGGATTTTATCTAGGGTCCACTCCGCCAATCACTGATCTCGGTCTAGGCCCAGAGGAGACCTAAGGAGTCTGTACCCATGGGGGGGACCACCCCTGATCTTCCTCCTGTCGATCAAACCCCTCACCTGACTCTCATCGGATCCTCACCTGAGTCCCTTCTACCCATCTCCTGACGATCATGTGACATCACGTGTTTTGTTGGTCTACAAAAACCCCTCACCTGACCATCACCTGAGTCTCTTCTACCATTCTCCTGACGCTCATGTGATATCATCTGAGTCCCTTCCACCAATCTCCTGACGCTCATGTGACATCACGTGGTTTTTAGTCTATAAAAGCCAGCATCTGGCGCGGGAAAATTCAAATTGTTTCCTCTGTCATGGCGGACGACCTATTGTATCCCTTTAGTGACGAAGAGGAGGATGCTCTGTTGGACCGAGCGTTTGACCGGTGGGAACAGTTAGGAGGCGGCTCCGCCCGAGGCCCTCTCTTTCAATTCACCATGCAACCCATTGGCCGACGACGCCGCTGGCGCGAGGTGGTGGAGCGGGCGCAATTCAAAACGCAATTACGGCAATTGAGGGATCCTGTCCCTGGGGATAACATTGGCATGGCCTTGACCGAAGCGTTACACCAAGCCATTGAAACGGAACTGGACCGTAAGCAGCGACCCGCCCATCATTTTGTCAATTTTGCCACTACGGCCAATGGTTTCACCCACGCTTATCAAACAGCGAATTTTACGGTGGGGGAGTTTTTACAACGCACTGCTCGCTTGGATGAGATGTTAGCCACGTTGGCCGGCAAGTTGAATAGAAATGAAGCCTTCAACCCCGATCGCGGTTTCCAAGTGGATGTGGTGTTTGTATCCATGCCTGGCCGAGGGTCTGGTCGACATAAACAACGCAATGCGGGACGTCTATGCCTGGATCGAGACAACAAGAAAAAAAAATGCATCATCACCATCCGAAACAGAGATGCTCTATGCTGTGCCCGCGCTATCGTCACCATGCGAGCCCACTGCCATAAAGATCAAGGTATAGACGGGATTCGCGACTGGGACAATCTCAGACGTGGTCGTCCTGTGCAGCAACTTCAAGCCCAGGCCTTACATCAGCAAGCGGGAGTAGCTGAGGGTCCCTGTGGTTTACCCGAGCTTCGCCAATTTCAACAGGCGTTGGGGTCTCAATATCAATTGCTAGTGATGACCCGGATGAAACCGTTTTTTCTGATCTTCAAAGGACCCGCCGCCCCTCATCAGATC